GTGGAAATATGAAAGATGATAGATTTTGTATCAGTGGAAATATGAAAGATGATAGATTTTGTATCAGTGGAAATATGAAAGATGATAGATTTTGTATCAGTGGAAATATGAAAGATGATAGATTTTGTATCAGTGGAAAGCGGAGAGATGATAGATTTTGTATCAGTTGAAATCAGGGAGATCATAGATTTTGTATCAGTGGAAATCGGAGAGATGATAGATTTTGATCATCTTTCATATTTCCACTGATAATTTCCACTGATACAAAATCTATCATCTTTCATATTTCCACTGATACAAAATCTATCATCTTTCATATTTCCACTGATACAAAATCTCCAGGGAGCTGATGGCTTCTGTACCACTGGAAACCAGCTAGGTAGATGAGCGCTTTCCTGTCAGTAAACAACCAGATGAATGCTTGCTTTTGTCTTCGTCCAACTTGAATCGATACCTAAACATGCGTCAATGTTGTAGTCATCGTCAGCACAACCAGGATGTGCAGCTGACTAATGATAGTAGGATCATGGAGCAGTTCCAGGACCCAAAGGGCTCTTCCACATCTAAGCCTGTCAATTTCGGTGAGATACACAGCGATGCACATATAGCTTTGTACATTGCCCTAAAGTATATACTGGTGAAGATAATAGAAACCAATGATTAATATGCTTTGCGTGATTATTATTCTTGCAGTTTTGTCTGCAAAATTATATTTGCCTTCATCACATTAATTGTAGTCATCAAATTGTGCTGAGTAAGTTTTGTAGACCAGGCGTATTGTGTAGCGATTCAGTCTGTCACCATCAATCGTATGTCGTCTGGGTGTGTGAATGTACTTCTCAGGAAGTCAGTCTTTGGTTGTGATGACGAGTGTATGCCTTCAGCCATGTGTGTCTTGTGTTTGTATGAATTTTATATAAGTATATTCACCTGCAGGGGTAGAAATAAGGAGAAAAAAAGAGATGGTCCACAGGACCATCTAGTTTGAAATTCAGATGGTCCTCCTAAATTTTAGATGGTCCTCGTAAATTTGAAATTGTTCTGTAAAAGTGATGCGGCATGCAAGCGTAAGAAAGAGATTTTACATGGTGATAAAATGGTTTAATTATTCACTTTACAGTAATTGTTTATTCACTTTAATAGTATATTCGAACGTGGAAACTTTAATGAAAATTACCCTAAAATGGGACCAAAATATTCAATGGTCCGTCGGACCATTGACTTTGAAAATCTGATGGTCCTCCTGATTATTTGATGGCCCCGGACCAGCGGACCATCGCTTATTTCGACCCCTGACCTGGATGCACAAACTTGGTCTACACTCGTTCTATACCTTTTTTTGGTATTTTGACGCTATAGTATATTAATGGTATGTTTTTCTGCTCATTTACTGTGAGCCTCGCGAATATTTGCACTCTTTGTGCCCAATAGCGAAACTGGATTAAGCATAAATGTTTGTTTTCCTGCAGATTTGCGTCCAGGCACCAGTGTGACAGAGTATGATGCGACCATCAGGAGAGACGAGGTGAAAACACCACACTGGCTCCTCTGGTAGACCTGCTAAAAGATGTTGCAACTCCAGTGGTGAATTTTCAGTTGTCTGAGGTTGAGATGTATACTACTAGGCATATCAGAGTCTTAGCATCGAAGTCTTTTACTACCAATATTTGGAAATAGCTTGTGGTCAATGTTTGTTGCCCGTTTGACATTTTTTCATGAAAATATCACTATAAAATTAGTACTGATTTTTCGAGTTAACATTTCTCATAGATATGCTTATTTGGCAATGGTAATAACTGTTATAACATTTTGAAATTGTCATTTGGGTATATCTAGAATGACCAGTTTGATCTCACTCAAATATTACAAGGCACAATTAACTCACTATAGTGTCCTTAAATAATAACTACTCTTTGATCTTACTTTTGTTAGTCACGTGCGTGAACTTTTTTATGATAACATTGGCAGTATGAGAAAGCGTTCGTTGATATTCCATCAACTTAGATTTATCTTAGGGTTACACTATGTATTTTCAACAGCTTTCAGACTGAACCAATTTTAGTTCATTGGAGTTTATCCTACAGTCGACATGCAGTTAGCATATCGTACAGTATTTTTGTCAGATTACTCCAACTTTCTCTCTAACTGCATAGGATTTTATTATGTTCGTTTATTTTTATTTTTTATAATTTATATAAGCCAGTCTTCAGACCTGAATCTCTTAAAATAATATTTGAGTACTAAAATGTGTGGAAGCCCAAGCTCTACCTGTACAACTTGAGATGGTTTTGTGCAGAGATGGGGATTTTTATAAAACATATCAGTTTCTTTATTTGTGTTGTGTAGTTCGAACAGAATTTCTCCTGAAAACTCTTGTGTTCTGTCAATTCCCACGTAACCTGATCAACCTTACGTATGAACATTATTTATAAGAATGCAATTATGTTAGTACACACAGAATATCTCAGTGGGATATACCAGACATTTCCAGTGGAATATTGAGTCTGTGTACTCTGTATAAAAATGTCAATATTATGTGATGGGCGGGAGCGTGACTTTAAATCTGATGTGATACATGTCAAAGTGTGACTTGCATGCCGTCCAACCTTAACTAGGTTCTTGTTAATTATATGACTATAGTGGTTTGTGTGGATGGTGTTACCTAAGAGCTAACTGAAAGAGGAACATGTGAAATTTAATAATTCCAAAATGGAAATCTTGAGTTGTTTTTCCCCGATACACGTATTAAATAATTTCATCCACTGTATTATTGGAATATTGGATCAGCAAACGGTGTGAGCAGTTGAAATTTTGTTGTAAATACGTCAGTATGAATTGTTGGTTGTGATCTTGGCGTTTTGTAAATAATTTACATCCAAAAATATATTCATACTAAATATTGCTGTTGGTTTGTTATATGCTGCATCGCTCATATATTGACAAACTGTCGCAGTACGCCTTGTAAAGTTTTACATTTCAATTAAATAATGATAAACTTGATCTAGGCATGAATGGTTTAGACATGTTCCATGTACGCACTGCATAATACTACTGTGTTCAGTGTCTGCTGTGCAGCAGTTACATAGGTCATTAATATGCCATTGTTGAGTAAGTCGTACTGCATGTCAAGTTTATCGTCAGTCATATCAGATTTCAGTCATCCTACTCTCTTGTCCTCCGAGAGAGAGAGAGAGAGAGAGAGCGATAGAGATGGAGAGCCTGTCTTTCCCTACATTGCCCTTCAGCAATATTCGTTGTTCATTATGAAAACAGCTTTTGTTTATAAGACCTTGTCGGCTAGCTATCCGCTGTAGTATCTATATAGCTGACGGGTGCACTCTCTGTTATATCTCGCGCTCTTTCTCCCGTTCTCTGTCTCTCTTTCTCTCGCTCACTCCCTCTCTCGCTATCTCTCCCCCCTCTCTCTCTCGCGCGCTCTCTCTCCCTCCCCCTCTCTCGCGCTCTCTCTCTCTCGCGCTCTCTCTCCCTCCCCCCTCTCTCTCGCTCTCAGAGAGAGATAGAGAAGGGGGAGAGAGAGAGAGAGAGAGAGAGAGGAGAGGAGAGGAGAGAGAGAGAGAGAGAGAAAGGGTCCTCATGTCGTCCTCCTCGTCTATCCACGCGATGGTCAAACGACAGTATATGAAGACATGTAGGCGTCGACACGGACACAGATCCGATGCTCATATAGTACGGTACCAGATTCACAATAAGCAGTGATCGCGCGCACCTGTGTTCCTAGGTAGCACCGTCTACCAACAGCGCACATGCAGACATCGGTGAAATTCATGCACTGCGTGTAAGGATAATTGTCATTTTTCATCCACAATCTTATTAAAGGTAACTACTAATTTAAATTACAGCGATATTGGACAAACCTAGTAATGAAATGTACTCTCTAATTGAACTTTTCTTTGATTACAAGATTGCTCTGTCATTTCAATTTAATCATAGGTACCAATGGCAGCCCACATCTTGCTCGTTAGCACTCGCATGCTCATACATGAATACATAAAATAATGCTTATGCTTATGGCTTCTTTCCTAGTTCAAAGTTTCAAGACTAGAAATGGCAATGGAGCAATTAGCATGTTTTCATTAGTGTGGGTTCATCATGCCTGTGCCACATTATGTAAATAAATTATTATCAGTAGACCTGTGTTTGAGAATAGGCTAGCGCCCTATCATCTAGAGCTCAAAACTCCTACGACACTCGCTCCCGTCCTTTCCCCTGCTTCCCTTGTCCCTCTCTCAGCCTCCTCCGTCTTCTTCCGCCCTCAGCTATCTTCCCTGCCGCCTTTTCTCAGTTTCCCACCCCTCTCTTTCAGACAGCTATATTAAGCAGTTTTCTTCAGTCCGTACTATACGCCTGAAATGGTGCTCGCGCAATGTCATATGCGCAATATCTCCCGATAAGAATAATATTTTGCGAAGATATGCATGGTATATGCAGCGGGGATCTTACATGCAAGGTGTGCTTCCTATTTCTGACGTGAGGTCTACTGATGAAATTTTATCATAGAGATCTATGCTAGGATAACCCCTTTACATTTTAAATTTATAATGTTGGCAAAATATTCTTCTTCTCGGGAGATATTGCGCATGCGCGAGCACAGTTTCAGACGTGCAGTATGGCCAAAGGAAAAGTACGTAAATATAACTTGCTGAGAGAGATAGGGGTGGGAAACCGAGGGAAGGTGGCGGGGAAGACAGTCGAGGGGCGGTGGAAGGAGAAGGAGGCTGAGCGTACGACAATGGAGACAAAGGGAAGAGCGGGCGGGGATAAAGTAGGGGTTTTGCACCATACAGGCTAGGGCGCTCTCCTTATATAAACACAGGTCTACTGATAAGAATTTATAACAGAAACCTATGTTGAGATATCCCCTGACCATACTAAATGCATTTTCATCCCAAAATAAAACTCCTCTGGTGAGATATTGCGCATGCGCTAAAACAGTAACGTAGCCAGGTTATGTACTTAATGGTATATGCAGCGGGGACCTTACATGCAAGGTCTGCTTCCTATTTCTGAAGTGAAGTCTACTGATGAAATTTTATCATATAGATCTATGCTAGGATAACCCCTTTCATTTTAAATTAATAATGTTTGCAAAATATTTTTCTTCTCGGGAGATATTGCGCATGCGCGAGCACCGTTTCAGACGTGCAGTATACGGCCAAATGAAAAGTACGTAAATATAGCTTGCTGAGGGAGAGAGGGGTGGGAAACTGAGGGAAGGTGGCAGGGAAGACAGTCGAGGGGCGCTGGAAGGAGAAGGAGGCTGAGCCTGCGACAATGGAGACAAAGGGAAGGGCGGGCGGGGATGAAATAGGAGGTTTGCGCCCTACAGGCTACAGGCATAATGTTTGCAAAATATTCTTCTCGGAAGATATTGCACATGCGCGAGCACCGTTTCAGACGTGTAGGACGGCCTAAATAAAAGTACGTAATATAGCTTCCTGAGGGAGAGAGGAGTAGGGGACGGAACGAATGCGGTAGGGAAAATGGCTGAGGGGCGGTGGAAGAAGAAAGATGCTGAGTGTGGGACAAGGGAGGCCAGGGGAAGGGCGGGCGAGGATGAAGTAGCAGTTTTGCACCCTACAGGATAGGGCGCTCTCCTTGTTATAAGCACACGTCCACTGATAGGGATTTATTACAGAATTCGATGCTGAGATATCCCCTGACCATACTAAATGCATTTTAATCACAAAATCTATCCCCCCTGGTGAGATATTGCGCATGCGCTAAAACAGTAACAGGTTATATACCTATGTTATACACTGACTGGTATATGCAGCGGGGACCTTACATGCAAGGTCTGCTTCCTATTTCTGAATTGAGGTCTACTGATGGAATTTTCTCATATCAATATATATATGCTAGGATGATCCCTCTTCATTTTAAATTCATAATTTTTGCAAAATAATTATTATCTTTTTGGGAGATAGTGCGCATGCGCGAGCACCGTTTCAGGCGTGCAGTAGCGCCTATACGACCTAAATAATATAGTGCGTAATATGCGATATGAATATAATATATATATTATGAATGTACATATATCTATCACAGATATCAATAGCTACTGGAGAGCTAGCGAGCGCGCGCGTACTAGCCTTACATATTACAAGTCCTACGTTAAATCCATGTGCATGCATGTAGGATTGGATATGGAATGACAAGATTCTGGAACTCGAGACTAGTAAATCCTTTCAATATCCCCTACATAGGGCACCTAGCAGCAGTATACGGCCGCGGTGCCTGTATTTTATAGTTAGGCTATCAATCGGGAGTCATTTTTTATACTTTTATTTTTTTCATTTAGTGGAGACAAGCACAAAATAATAATATTATAGAAGGCCGGGGCCCATAATTATGCAGAAGCACATGTTCTAAAACCTAGGGGCATTTGATATTGTGTTCTGTGCTAGTGTCAAACACACACATCGTTAAATATTATAATCCTTCGAAAAGTGTGGGGCGGCGTGTCCCCCGTGTCCCCATGGCATTTGCGACAATGTGCAGGAGTGAATAAGATACATACATCATACACATTGCGACGTGATATGTACTTAATATGCGTGTATTTATACTCACGCGTGGGTCTACAGAACACATATATAGCGATATTATTGTATATATTTGAGTAATTTGAGTGAGAAAGCCACATCTTGAACCAGTCATGCATGAAATCTAAGAACCATACAGCTATATAGCTGTCTTTTCCCCAGAGTTCTGCAGCGCCATGTAACAGCTAGAGTGTGCATAATATAACGTGTTATATAGTGTGCATAACTGCATATATAGTGTGCATAATATCAGGAGTAAGATAATATAGAATTCTATATTATCTTACTCCTGATAATATAACACGTTATATTATGCACACTCTAGCTGTTACGTACATGGCGCTGCAGAACTCTGGGGAAAAGACAGCTGTATGGTTCTTAGATTTCATGCATGACTGGTTCAAGATGTGGCTTTCTCACTTAAATTACTCAAATATATTGCTCTTGGTCTAGTAGGCCCCTACGTGGTTTATACGTAAAGACCGATGATATGGTAAATAAATGTTTATTCATCACGCACGCTTACATGCCGTCTATTAATAGGCCATCGTGTATGACAATTAATGGAGTAAAAATACACAGGTAACCTACGCCGCATACACAGGTATGCCAATTTCTCTTTAGTATAATAGGATATTATAATTATTTAATTTATAAAAACGCCCATATGAGTTTTTTCATAATTGAAAACGTTTAGATGAACCCATGAACACCAGTGCAAAACTTCTGTGACGTAAAACTTCGATCTAAAATGGCGCGTGTGGCGTCATAACTACACGACCAATTCGCTTCATCGCCTTGTATGTCCATAGATCATACCTGCAGCTTGACCTGCACATCTATGACCTGCAGGAGTCTCATGTACGTGTCTAGTGGTCTGTATATATTTCTATGATACAAACCAGAGCAAACACATGATGTGTTTGTGTACATCTATGGTACATTTATCATTTAACCCTAGAACCATAGAATAACTTCTAGCATAGCCTAAAAATAACCAAGATAAGTTATTCTTTGTCTATGCTTATCATAGATGCTCAGGTGAAGATTGGCATTCCTTCTTCCACAGCCCCTTGTGGCTTGGCACAGTTTCAAGTTTCAGGTTTCAAGAAGAGTAAAAGAGCAAACCGCTTCGCTCTTTTACTCTTCTTGAAACTTGAAACTTGAGCCTCCAAGGGCCTGTGCTTCTGTAAGAAGTTCTTGCTTGATTGATGATGGTGCCTAGTTGTTTTACTCGTCACTCGATCATTTTAAGCCGCGAGCATTGCTTTCGACACGCACTAGCTCTAGTACTAGCTATAGCCCGCTTACATTAACTGACCCTCAAGAGCCTCGATCAAGGGCCTTTTGACCCTCAAGAGGAGGGTTAAACATGGATTCCTGAACTGCCTCAATGACGTCACAGTGTTGTCATATTCATGGCACATCCATAATCTAGAAACCCAATAATCCTGGATAGCCGAACGCGTACAGCACAGGCGTCACGGCTCAAAACAAAGGTCGTTGGATTGAATCCCATCTGATTTTTTATTATTTACCTGTTTTCTGTATTTTATTATCTTTATCCATTTAACTATTTTTTTCCAATTAACACAAATATTTACATGATTTATTTAGAACAATTTAATAACAACAAAGAATTTTTACAACAATTAATTTATTTTTAGCTCACCTTGACATCGTTAAGCTGAGCTATTGCCATGGGTCGTCGTCTGTCGTACGTCCGTCCGTCCGTCCGTCCATCCTTCTGTCCGTCCTTCCGTCAACATTTGGCTACGGTCAACGATAACTCAGGAACCGTTTGACCCACATGTTTGAAATTGGGTATAGTTGTTACTGCTATGCTCCCATATTGAACGTCCTATTTTGGAGCACGCCAGTCGACGTACTTTCGAGCCACGGCAATTTTTTGGCAAAAATGGGAATTGCCATTAGTCAGTTCAGGTTCAATGGATTTTGCTAATTTTTGGTATGTAAATGAATAAGGGCTAGGGGTTTTGATATTTAAAAAAAAATTATGTAAATTTGGTAGGTTTTGGCAATTATATAGCATATTATATAGACACGCAGATAACAGTCTGTGGTGTCACACTCGTCTGGTTCGTTTTACATGATTTCATTGACAATATCTTTAATGCAAAATTGGTATTTCCTCTCCACCCTGCCGATAAAACGTCTATATTAGAGTAAAGTTTTACAAAACATGTCGGAACGCAGCATAACCTATTTATTTCGAACACCATCGCGAAGAAACATCAAAGCGGTTATAGCGCCATCTACCGTCACAAATTGTGATTCATTTTGGGTTATAAATTATTATTGCGATATACAGATGGCAACCGTGTGCTACCGCCTAGAAAAACTCATACGAAGTAAACACTTGCATACAACCAATTAACCTTTGACAACAGTTGTGTTATGGGCAGGGAAACACCATTGTCACGTGGTATATAGCAGCTACGTGGAATAAGCGTATCCTCTCAATCTTACACGTTACACATCGGGAGCTCCGCTTTTAGGCAGTGCCTAAATCTGAATATTATAAAAACGTTAATTAAATGACGATCATTTAGGTGTAACGCCATCACTCGCCCACATCTCAGACTTTCACATCTCAAACATTTATTTTCACATAAAAAATTACACATAATTATCAAGAGTATATAATGGGAGTTCTCCCATATATACTCTTCGTTTCTATAATGTACGTCGATGGTTGCTCAATTAAAACTGACTTCTTTTCACTCACTCATTTGTGTCCTTTTTTGTGGTGAGCTACAGTGTCATTGACACTTTCATTTTTTAATAGGGTTATTTTTTATTAGGGTTAGGGTCACAATGCACCATAAAACAGGAGTTTCACGCACACGATTTGTATCAACCAATGGGATTGGGGAGGTATGCAGAATGCAGAAGGTTGCTGAAATGATGTGTACGCAACTGCGTATCTGCGCATATCTGCGCCTAACAAAGGTGTCACTATGCACGACTTAAATGTTACGTTTATAACCGTAGCAACAGACCTCAGATGAGCCCAGACGCTCTGCGGCTCTTGTTAATATTTATCACACTGCCATATTTGTCATCCTAGGACTATTTGAAGCCTGCAATATATTATGGGGAAAAATAAGAGGAAGCAGTGGAAAGGGCAGAAGAAAGTTGGAGGATCTGCCAAGTCTGCAAGAGATGAGAGACCAGCTACCAGAAAAATGGATGGTTCCTATTTTGAAAATCCTGGGAAAAGTGGTCTACTCAATGCTGATGAAGAAGACTCGGTAGTTGATGAGGAATGCCTTGGTATATCCTATTTAATTTATGTTTAATACGTCTTTGTTATTATTATTTGTGTTTGGTGGTGGTTTACTCATTAGGTGGGTATGTGTGATGTATCCTGTGCTAAAGTGTAGTAGTGGATAGTGCATGCTACCTGCTTGCTTGTTGCCTGTTTCTTTCTTCCCTCTTACACTTAGTACTTAGTGTGGTGAAAAGTGGAGCCAGGTGGCACATATCTCTCCAACCAGAAAGTATATGTTCACTAGCTGATTGTAATGTCATTGATATTATCAATCACATAGTCGGTCACATAAGTCAATCACATGGTCGACTTTCTATGTTTGGGTATCATTCTTATTCTTGCATAATATAATATACTGGCCACTAGGTGTCAGCCCATGTTAAAAAGTAAAATATAATCCGAGATATAATGTCGTACGAAGAAAGTAGGTCTTTCTTTTGTTTATTTGGCCTTCGAGGTTGAAGTATAAAGTAAGACAGACATATTGAATCACACAAAACACGTCGTTTAGTACAAGTTCAAGCAGAATTCTGTTATTTATCATGATCATTTATTGTGACAACCAATGGTCTACTTCTATCAGAATCAGAAATATCTGAAACCTTTCATCATTAGCTTCCAGGCAAACTGGTCCATCAGCAGCAGTTAACAAAGTACAAAATCTGTGGTGTCACAAGACTGCAATGCCATCAAGGAATGTTCACATTTGCAAGATAATGGTTCAATTGCAAGATAAATGTAATAATGAACTTAATTGCTAGCCCACTGTAGCAGGTTGTTTGTTTGGTAGCTGGTGGCTAGTGAGTTTGTTATTATTCAACCTGCATATATGTGTGTGTGTAGGCCTGCAGCCTAAAAAAATGTCTGAGATATATTTCTGTGTCACAGGTGCATTTGCTTCCAAGGCAATGACAGATGAAGATCAACGTAAAGCTTGCTTTCCCAGTCCAGTTGCGATGTGGGATCTTAAACATTGTGATCCAAAGAAATGTACAGGTGAGCATGTGTTATAACGTGTGTATGTAGCAGTGCACAATAATGTTTATCCATGCATTATATAAAATGCTAAAAAAAATTGTTCTAATTACATCTTTACTCTTGTGCAATAATTGTCAAGCAAGTGTGAGTCAGTTGACGTAGTTTTATATGCAAGTACATCGATCTGTTATTAAGGCAGTAGCCATATGCTGTTAAGAAATTATGACATGAACATTTGTATTTACAGGCAGGAAACTTTCCCGGCTAGGCTATGTAAGGTTGTTAAGCCTAAACCAAAGGTTCAACGGCCTGGTTTTGACACCTATAGGACAAAAATGTGTTTCGCCAAAAGACAGGTATGATGTATAGTCAAATAGATGTGTATATATAACTTGGAACGTCCTACGCCCGTCAAAAATGGTATTTATGGGCATGGTCACAAAATGTAACGTGCTTGCCCTTGGTGTCATGTGGCCAGCATATACAAGGGTAGCAACGTTATCCTTAGATTATGTTTATGAGAATCCGGTATCAGGCACCCGTAGGTTCGTTCCAGATGTCTCACATGAGCAACAACAGAATAGATCACAGAACAACACAGCAACCCAGACACACTGCACACACATTCTGCAATGTATACAGTGTATCTATATAACGAGTCTAGCTGAGATTTTGATCTGCTTGTCCAGAAACCAACTGCACACACCGGCTATTTTTCATTCCTTAGCCTTAACATACAATGGACACTAACCTGATGAGCTCGATCTTAACTTGCAAGCCACAGGTGGTAGCCATATATATACGTTGTCCAGCCTGTGTGCCTTAACTACAGCTTAATGAGTGCTTAATTTTCAAATTTAATACTCAGTAAACGATTGTGAGACCATTATTTTTAGCTTGATATATATCCTAGATAGCAATTTAATTGAGTTTCACTTGAGTGGCTGTACTATACAGGTTTAACTGTATTATATATTGATGTCCTCTGACCTCCATGTTTTTTGGCTTATATTTATAACACATAATTTATTAAAACGCTATGTTGCGTTCCAATCTCTACCAAAAATTAAGCAATAATTGATAGAATCTATAATAATAAAATGGTTATTAGGGATTTGCTCCACATACAAATGTGTGCAATTAATAATTTTCAGGGATATAGTAACAAGTCAGGGTATTGCTGTTGTTGACTGCTCTTGGGCCAGACTTGAAGAGACTCCATTCTCTAAAATGAAGGCCAATCACACGAGGTTGCTGCCGTACCTGGTGGCAGCCAACCCTGTCAACTATGGAAAGCCTTGTCAACTTTCTTGTGCTGAGGCCTATGCTGCGGCATACTATATCACAGGTATGATGTCAACATAATGTGATATATAATGGTGAGGATATAGCAACTTGGCTGTGAAAGACAAACAGGAACAATACCGATTGATAATTTTTATCTGTTTTTTCTGTCATCTACTTACATTCTTAAAATCATCCAATTACATTAAAGATATGAAATTTCTAAGTATTATGCAGATTACTGTGATTTAGTCTTTAGTATGGAAAATAATTTAAAAAATAGTCTTTTCACCGATCACCTTCACACGTCCACCCTCCCTCACTATGTACCTCCAATCTACGTGCTTTTTCCTGCATGCCTTGTTTCTAATTCTTCCCCCTTTATTCTTTTCTTTGGCTGATTCTGGTGACAATTTTCTTTTCTTTTTGAGTGAGAGGTTTTTTGAGTGAGAGGTTTTTTGCACATGGTTGTTGGTAGATGGGATGCAGTTCCCAGGTTGTTTAGACCATTGAACTAGAATTACTTAAATGTCAGTGTAATTAAGAGTTACATGGTCTGAAATTTGATGTGGTATGTATAAACATGCTAATTTTAACGTTTTAACAGCAGGTACGCATTTCCGTTTATCAAAACATTGTCTACCGGAGCGTATCTATACTATTATAAGCTCCTACTCTTCTTCTTTTGGGTTGTATAGTTTATCCTGTTTTTTATTACACAACTAAGGCTACAAAGAACTTGGGATGATCCTACTAAACAAGTTCAAGTGGGGACCAGGCTTCTTTGAACTGAACAAAGAACTGCTGGAGATATATGCTGCATGCAAAACTAGTGTCGAAGTTGTACGTGCGCAATTGGACTACTTGGCTCGCTGTCAGCAGGAGAAAGAATATAAAGGTGAGGCGCATGGCTTACACCTTATTATATAATTTGTAGCCGGTATATCTTATATTTCTGCAGTGTGGCTATGCAAAATTAGTTCAACCTAGATAAAGATGAAATGCGTATCTTTGAACACTACTATATCAAATAGAATGCCTGGAGCCTGTTGCGCCTTTCTTGAATATGGTTTTTTTTCCCATTGTGCTTTTCTCAAGTTGAGAAAGGTGCACCCGACGATATTTGCCAACACTTTATATTGTGGCAGATGATGTACACGATGTTACGTTACGTAATAGTACAGTAGTAGTGATGTCATGTCTGGAAGCAATTCTCTTTGTGCTAACTTTTGTGTTCTATGCAAACAGCTGAGCATGAGGAAGCCATAGACATGGACTTGGAGTTCTATAATCCTAACAGACTCGCATACCGTCTGCCTCCCAGCAGCAGCAGCAGCAGCAGCAGTAGTGGCAGCACCAGTTGTAGTAGTGGCAGTAGTGATGAAGAAAATGAGATTGAAGAGGTGCAAAACAACGAGGTATTGTCCGAGGAGGAAGTTGGTGAAGAAGAAGAAACGAACAGTCAGGGGACAGACGTGAAGGAATCTGAAAAGGAAGTGGCAAACAACCACATGGTAGAATCAGGGAAGGAAGAGGGAGAAGGTCATCATAGTAATACTCAGCACGAACCGAATCAGAAAGAGGAGCAGGAAGAAGTTGAGAGTAGCACCAGTGCAGGCGACAAAAATGCTCCGCTACAAACGTACGTGGCATGTGATAACAGTGATGACGATAAGACTGAACTTCAAAATTGTATGCCTTTGGAACACTGATCGTTAAAGGATGCACAAAGAAAAATTAACAACGATAGAGAGAATATGCCAGGATATCAAGAGTAATGTACATAGTGAAGACATTATCAGCAGGTGGCATGATAACAAATGTAAATTTTTTTTCGCAAAACAGTTAGGCAGTCGATCATGTTGAAATTGAGCAAATGTGCTTGTCAGAGGAAATTAAGTTTAGTTAAAGCATATTAGTTAGCTTGCATATTAGTTAAATAATTCAGATAGATAGATTTACTGTATAAAGGTTTTGCAAAACAACATACATGATGGCATCAAATGATATAAATTTTAAGTATATATTCATAATATACTAATATCTTTAAAATTTTCTTGATGAGAAATTATGTAATGTTCAGTGTAATATAAAGCTATCATGCAAAAGAATATTAGCAGAAACTATATATGGTCATATTTACATATTTACATATATAAACATGCTTCAACACCATAAATAGTTATCAGCATTGCAATTAAAATCTAAAATGAGTTGCAGAAGAACTTCTCATTCTCTGGGTAAGGCAGCTGTAAGGCATCACAAATTTTGAGAACCATCATAAATTATGTATCTTGGTCAAAATAACCATTCTTGGGGTCCGGGCCCCCATGTTGCCTTAACTGAATTTTCTGCTAACTCCGCAGGAACGCACCTCCAAATATATAATGAAAGTCAATATAAGAACTCCTTTCATAGTATGCATATTTTGCTTTACAAATATTTATTTATGAAACGCTTTACTTCTGTTACATGAGATATAGTGCTAAACTTATTTATGTGAAAATATTTCATAATAAAGTGCATTTACGCGAAAATAACTATCTTAACATGCACAATGTACACTTATACCAAGTATATTACTATATATACTATAAGTAACAAAACCATTACTTTTGTTACGTGTATTGGTCTCTGTGCAAATGCTCTTCCACGTGGTTTCCCTGTGTTTGTGTGTGTGCTCGCACATGTTGTTTGTCTACGTTCATACGTAATATTTTGTTTGCTACCCATGTAGTGCTCTAGAGGTGTCCGTGACCTCAAGTACGTGTAGCGTAATTTATATTTATAGTAATGCGATATTAAGTCACAATCTTTACACACCTACAAGTTAAGACGAATTTACAGATGTTGCCAATGGCCTGTAGATACATTGTAAATACAATACAATGAATTGAGGTGTTACAACCCTACCCTATAGGTTAGAGGTGTCGGCCATATGGCAAAGCAAGGTTTCATATTCATAGCATTCAAGTTGATTGTGTACGATCACTGATAAGTACTAGGACTGTTAGATCATGCCTTGTGTTTTTTTCAAAGGTTTAGACAAAGTATATACTTCCGAGCTTCGTTTTGCTCTACTCGTGCCGTGTCGGGTTGCCTTGGTGTGCATCTGAAGGCTTCTTCTAGCAGATTTTGCATTCATTCCATCTACAAAGAATGCACATTACTCTATTTAGGAATACATTGTGGAACTTGAGCTTCATGTGGAAATTCGAAACTTCATACAATGTTGCAATACAAATATATGTCTGTACATTTACTATTCACTAGCAAACAGATTAGTCGTGATATAAAAGGTCAACGAACACAATTGACGAAACTTGAATTGCTCCATTTATTCGAACACTGTGCATGTGTGCAATGGAAGTTTAACACAAGCCAAGGCCTTTAATTTTGGGCCTATAAGTTACGTCACCACACTGCAATAGTATGAAATGTAAGCTATAACAGCAACTCCTCTGTCATTATCCAAGACCTTACACTCAGAAAAAGTACAGGTTGCTTTGTCTAAATTGCACTCCCTTGCAAGATTTGCCTGATAATACTACCAGTCTAGAAAGCAAACCTACCTGCAACATTTCTGCTCACGCTGGAGCTTGTAGTTGGCGATGTGCGTGATGTCTGGCAGGCTTCTGCTCGGAGTTTCGTTCTAGGCTGTGGCAATGAGGGCAGGTTGCTCATCTTCTGCCTTTTTGAGCCAACAGCGTGGACCTTTGCCGAGGATGTCTTAGAGTATGGTCTGCAGTCAAAGTGACTCATCTTCTGCTTTCTCACACCAACAGCTTGGTTACGTGGAGAGGATTTCTTTGGCTTGATATCAGGTTTAACACTACAAAATCAAGCCAAATATACTCGTCGCACGTCAAAATCTAGTCAGCAATGACACTCAACATTTACTAATGTGTGTGTGAAGTTTGCAAAATGAGTGCAAAATGAGAAAGCTGCACAGCAGTCACTACTGAACAATAACTACTCGAGAAACGACACCGACTCGAGTGCTCTTTTCAGTCGGCACCGTACGGCAATGCACAATGCAGCTGGAAACGTCGAATGATGGAGAGTTGAGAATGATGCATGGGTTAAACTAGCTTTAATCTTTTTTTTTTTTTGCATTACAGAAAAACCTTTGAATTACCTACACTGTACACATTACTACTCCCACATGTAATAGCACTAGACTGCATTTATTATACTATTGGGTTTGATGGTAATAAAATATATCAGGGTACGTCACAGGCCTTTAGTGCTCAACTGGTCCGACATGCCTTCAAATACCTAGCTATCTTGCAACATCCCATAACTCCTCTGGCATGCCTTAATTGCCCTATCAACATGCCTTAATTTCTAGCTCATTTACTTTTGACAATCCAACCACAGTCATATTCTGTGTTTTAACAGCTTGATGTATACGTCTCTAAACTGATAGACATTGTCTGTGTATTGGGGACGCTTACAACACGTGCAATTGACTCCAATTAGCAGTCGGTGATAAATTGCACAACTGCCTGATATGTCTTCTGAAATACCTAGGGAGAACACTGTATGTGGTATATGTACCTGGGTGGACACTGAGCCTTCCTTGCAATTGCCTTGATAGTGGCAGCAGATAGTCGACGCTGAGTAATATTACCCGAGGACTGCTGCAACAAATATAGAAAAAACCTTTGTGATAGAAATGAATGGACATTCTAAAGGAATAAACTACAATCTGCCCAACTTTACATTCTGGGGCGCATCTAATTGTGTTAATTTGCAAATTTAGTAGTGTATCCATTGAAAGCTCAAGATTAGGAAATATTTTGATGTGATGAACGAATATTACCCCTTCCCGTTCTTTAGGAATTTACACTAATCTCAAGAAATGGTCCTGGAAAAACTCAGGAACCCATAAAGCTACTGGAAATTCTCATCCCAGACTTGAAAATGACAATTTATACATTGGTAGAATACTTACTGCCCAATATATGGGTTTGAACACCGGTTATAAAAGATGTACAACTACCTTTTCCTTAATAAGTTTCTCACGAAGAAGTTGCCTGTCTCGTGCTATGATTGCCATTTTCTCCTTGGTAGAAATTGTGTGGAAGATATCATGTAGATCAAACAAAGCTGCTTCTAGCTATAATGAAAAAAAAATTACCACTAGTATTACCGTTACATTGGTAGCAGACAATAAGGCTGAAAATTGCACTAAACTGCGTGCATACTAGCTAACCGCAAGAGATTTTTAGAGCCAACCCTATAATACGATCACGAACTTTACTCATTATCATTCTGCAACTATCTACTTGGGTTGGCTTCTTCCAAAAATGGCAGACAATCATTGATTTACATGCATACTTGACTAAGAAGTCGTTGTTGAAACTCGAGATCTTGCAAGGCAGCGTGAGGTGGCTGCGTGGTCGTATCTGACGCAAAATTCACTGTGAATTCCACAGTGTCCTAAAGGAGGAAATCACACTAAAATACACCTACCCACAATCACACACAAATGATACAATGTTCATAGCATATTACCTTTCATGAAAATATTATATTTGTTTCACTCTTCACCATCACCTTTCCTGTCATATGTAAAAAGATGTGTTTTCATGTGCAACATAAATAAATGAATACATGTAGCTCAAGCCTTACAGAAAAAAACCATGTTGGTTGCTACTACCACAATTCGTTGGTCGAGTACCAGTTGATGCCAGTCGATACCAGTTGGTCGAGTACTACACATCAATTCTGCACCCCATATATCCTGTTGCTAGTAACACCGGTTCATGTTTGACCACAAGCTTTTCAATGTACATATTTACCTTGATGGTTTTGATGATGCTTTTAACCCTGTCTGTACTGAGCAGCCTTCTAGTAAGGTAGCCCTTCACTAATGCTGATATACGGCAGAACTTGCTTGAGGGAAAAATCTGCTGCAAAGAGAAATGCTCAATATTCAAGTTCACATCCAATTCTTTACCTGTCATACAATCTTATTTGCTTCTCATACATCCAGGGGTAGAAATTAACTTTTGAACAAGGGAGTCCAACGGACTCCCTGCCTTCAAAATGAAGGAGTCCGCAGAAAAATGAAGGAGTCCGCAGTCTGAAGTTCAAAATTTAAGATATTAACAATAACGCACGTGCTTATTTGGAAGATTCATGCGGTTACACGTCTGCCAAATTTTGTTTGGACATTTGCCGAATAAATACGGTAATTCGGCGAGGCCGTGCTCTGGAATGAATGAATTAGTATGGCAGAATTTTCAGGGAGTCACGGACTCCTGCATATGTCAAATCAGGGAGTCCGACACTAAATCAGGGAGTATTTGACTGCGGACTCGCATTAATTTCGCACCCTGTAAATCTATATTGTCATATACGAATGTAATAATCTAAATGCTACCCCTTACCTCCTTATCGGGTAACAAATCTGTCTTTTGCAAGGTAGGACTAGTAAAGAATCTCTTCTGCCCAGACTGGACTTTCTGTCCACTTGGTGAAGACCGGACTGTCACAAATGGACTATTGTGAGGAGAGACTATGTGTGATCGTACAGTAACATTCCTTGATCGCTCTAATTCACATACGGAAGCAGTAGAGTCGTAACTGTCTTTGGATCGTGTCATATCGTCGTACTTATTCTCACCACGGGCAGAAGGCAAGCCTACAGACTCGACCATCACCAATGGACTGTTGTGCAAAGAAGCTGTCTGTGATCGAACAGTAACATTCCTGGATCTCTCCAATTCCGATTTAGAATCATTCATAGAATCGTAGAGCTCGTCGTCGGCTGTTGCATCACCATCAAGGGGCGTGCCACCATAGTCAGCAGATGACAATGCTCCAGGCTCAAAAGCAGCTGTTGATTCACAATGCTTTGCAACATCTTCATAGTGTTGGCCTCGCACATAAGGTGGTGCAGACTCACACCTATCACGACCGACTGCTCGTGGCGATTTCTCTGGCGTCTTGATATTCCTGACCTGCAGCCCATGATGCTGTTGCTTTTCCTGCTCCTTTCTCTGCAGGAACAGAGGTGCAAGTTGTAGGCTCTGTCGTTGAAACACCTCCTTTCTTTTCTCGTCAAACTCTGTACCATGCTTCTCTAGATCCATCGTGGCTGGGTCAGTTTCATTTGGTGAAACTGCATTTTTCTTAGGAAACTGTTTATCCACTGACCAGTCAAAAGTTCCTGAGCTGAAACCAAAAGTGCTCGGAGGACATGTCATTGCAACCTGCTGCCATGTTAATCTTTCTTTGCTGGTAAATTCTTCCCATCCTGATTTATCCTCAAGAACAGCAATCTTAGGTTTCTGCTGCTGCGCACTTAGTATACTCCAAGTTGCCAGTGGAGGGGTGTTCTCCTTTATCGCTTCTTGCTGTTGCCCCCACACATAATTGGTCGTGTGATTATTGAAAAGCGGTTTGATATCGTCAAAAAACGTTCCAGTAAAGACATTAGTTGGCTGTGTGTTGGAATGTTCAAGAACCTGCGTTGGATACACCAGAGGCACTTGTGGTTGGATCGGTGAGGACTGGTCTTGACGTTTCCTCAAATGCTCTGCTTTTCTGCTCAGCTCCATTCCAATTTCTTCAGTTTGCCAGTTATGGCACGGTGGCTTATTCATCATTTTCAGTACTTGTGCATCGCTATTGCTCTCCTCCGATTTAGAACAATCCAAGTTGTAAGCTTTTAGAAGCCCTGGTGAAGGTGCATCAAGCGTGTATGATCCTCTTCGAATGTGAGATCGTTTGAAGCCAGGAGTTGCATTGGCATTCACCTTTGGATCGCACTGCCCCTCTGCTCTACTTATCTGCTGCCCTGTCACACTGCATTCAGCTATGCTTGTTTCAGTACTGTCCACAGCAATTGTGCTTGCATGTGTACTTGCGCTTACATTAGTGCCCCACTCCAGATCATTGACGTTTAAGTCATCAGGGAGTGTTGCGACATCTTTCAGGGTATGCATGCTTGACAGCGACACTGACATGTCAAGACCCAGCGATATGCTGCCACTGGGGCACAGCGTCGATACACATCGAGACTCCTCTGCATCCGACGGTACCTCAGCTGCCGCGTGAACTAATGGCGAAGTAGTGCAGAACTCGGACATAGCTAGTGTAGGAGTACAGGCAACATCACCGTGTGACATCTCACTGACGTCATGCAGAGTATTCTCATCTTTTTCATCGACACCATCGACTTCCTCCTCCTGTGAAATCACGTGAAAATCTGCATTCCGGGAGTCGCTTGGACACTTTTCTGGGACGGATGATACATTTCCACACAATTGTAATTCTCCAACACGTACAGAACTTCTTTTTTGTTGAATGAATACTGATGGTTCTGCTCTCGTCTGTAGAGGACTACTCACTCGCATTAATGGTGGAACACTACCTCTTCCAGAATAATCTCCATCCTTACAATCTTCTGCACCTTTCTCCAATAACATCCGACTCTTATTTCCAAGGGTAATAGGAATGGGGTTGTCATGTATCAAAGTAGGGTGTGTTTCGTCTGTTCTCTTTGTTGCCATGTCAACTTGTGGTGTAGACATAACTTCACTGTGTGTAGACTTGCTATCGCTCGTGTTTACATGAGCCGCAGTTATGGACAGTTCACTTATATTGTCACTGTTACTTCCTGTACAAGAGTGTGATGATGTGACTACTCTCCTTGTTCCGAGGCTGATATCTGATTTTGGTGTGGTACTATCCGTTGCAGACCCACTCTGCTCCTCTTCAGACAACCTAGGACTGGAAACTGGTGTGTGTTTCTCCTGCAAGCAACAAATGGTATTGTTTTACCATGTTGACTTTAGTGTAAATATTACACGTGTATATTTATCAAGACATCCAGAATGGTTTACCACCATCCAAAAATGTCGCTTCTAATAATACAGTCACTGTATCTAAAGTATATATTTTAGAAATTACCACAATCTTGTCCAGCATGGACTGGACCCTGTCCACCAACTTCCTGGATTTTTTAGTTTTTAAACGAGCTTCGACCAGCTGAGCCTGTGTTCTATACTGTATCATCTCATCTCTTCTTTCCACTGACAACTGAAAACAACAGTTGCAAAAACAAGTATCAGAATGGTTGAAAATTTACACACACATAGATACACAGAGGGAGAAGGAGAGGGGGGAGGGGGAGCGAGGGATCGGAGAGGGAGAGGAAGAGGAAGAGGGAGAGAGAGAGAAAAGGAGAGATGAAGTGAGAGAGAGAGAGAGAGAGAGCAAAAGAGAGAGATGGAGAGTGGGAGAGAGAACAGACATGGTCTTTTATAGAGAGGTGACTATAAGATAGGTCATAAAGTAGGTGATCATTTTGAATTTTTACCACACAGCATAATTCACATTATCATCCTATATTTTGAGTAGTGACATACTATTTTTGTTGTGCAATTCATGGGGGTCCGCAGCAAAGAAGATCGTAAGCCGTAAGAGCAGGTAAAAAAAGGGGCGTGGCTCAAGATGGAAAAATAGTAGAGAATTGGTAGGTAAAAGTTGGAGGAACGGTTAGGAATGACGGCACAGGGTAGCAGTGGTAGCACAGCCGGTGTGGATGAGGTAGAGGGGGGTGAACAGATGCTCAGAAGATAAAGGGAATGTAAGGTGTAGCTATGATGCAAATATTTTCACACTATCCTTTGCTATAGTAAATTTTATGATGCAAGACATGCAGTGCTTTCACTCTCCACTACCACAAATTCCAGTGATGACTCACGTTCAAGTACGTGGCACCATCTATTGGCCAGAATCGTACGATTTAATTTAATATAACAATTCGCTCCCGTAGGGCTATGTACTCAAACCAACTCAAGCTCGTAACTTGATTTCCCCGACGTTCACCACACCCACAATCTTGCACAAAAGCACACTTCTTTACTGTCTGTAAACTAAGCTCACGCTTAGCCACGGCTACATGTAAGGGTGTAAGCACCATCTCATGGAAAACGCTGGCCCTCAAACCATACCAGAGGTGTTGGCAGTGGTTTCCCATAGAGTTTCATCACAGATACGAAATTCCTGCATTCTGTATAGCTGAGAACGTGTTGCTTTTCGGCCTCTTCGAGCACATGCAACTTATCTATTTCCACTGCAATCTGCTCCACCAGCTGGGCTATGGTATGCAGGCTCATCTCCTGCATAAACAGAAAGACAGACTGTTCAATCAAAAACAGAAAACCATATCGCTATATGACACTATGCATGGAACTCACACTCAAATTCACAGATGTACGAGTCTAATTTTGATATTTTCATAAAGTATTAGTAATTTGAGGGTTAGGAATATATAAAAAAATTCAGAAAAATCACATAATATTATTCAACTTTTAAACTTTATAGCACACAATAGTAATAATTATACATACCGTTTCCTCAAGGAAAGACATCGACGATTTGGAAACCGAGATCTTCAGCAAGGTATTTGCCAGTTGATACGTGTGGTGGACTGATGACCCATCAAGACATAAATTTCACTGACTCTACAACAGAGCAAATACCATAGTGTTAATGAAACAGACAGAATTAACATAGAAATTTTCTATTATGGACTCTTAATGTTAGCTATGGTGCTACACTCAGAAAGTATCTACCCGTGCGGGTGGCCAGATATGCATGTATGGTCTGTTAACAAGAACAGGAGTGCTTAGTGCATCTATCATTTAGTGAAGTTGTGTGCACACATGCTGAATTATGCTCATGCACATCCACATCCATCGCATGTTACCAAGTTACCCATAGTTTATGGAATAAGTAATTGCTGGAGTTTAGGAAAACATTTCAAATGCTTTTTTGTGCAAGTACTGATACTCATGACAACTTCACTCCTGCTATATGGCTACACTGGTAGATTCAACATTGCTCTAGATATAATTGCATATATTTTACATTACCTGTCATTGTACAGTTCGCATTTGACCCTATATTTAGAGATCAGACTTCGATGGACCTACAAGGACAGTAACCAGCTATGGGGCTTAGTTTGCATGCTAACCAGTGACAGCGCAACCAATAGATTATATGGAAAGGGTATGTTAATACATGTTTTAGCCCACAATTTCCCTTTTCTTCAAAGCGCGACCTACTTTCTATGTACACGTAAATATAGGAGTTTTTAAAGGGGAACAATTTTACCAAGTTTTGACAATGACCGTTCAATTCACATTGAGAATCGAGAACTCAACGACGAGATTTATTAAATGATAAAATTATTTCCTTTTTTTATGACTACTACTAGTCTGATTTTCAAAATATTTTTTATTTTTAAGTTACGAAACATATTACTACGATTTAATAAATTTAACATTTTGTGATATTAGTTATTACAAAATAAGAAATATCAATACCTATAAGTTATACTATATACTATGCTATGTGCAAACAAAGCAGGGGATCAAGGATAGTTTGGGATCCCACAAATGTGTTTTCGCATATGTGCTGGCATAACCAGGGGTGCTAGTCCATAGTACTAGTAGCCTTGTCAGAGGGTTAGGGAATGTAGTCAGTAGTACTACTAGTACTAGTAGGTAAGCTGGGGCCTAAACTCTAAAGCAACTTTGAAAGCTTCTGATACTGTGACGCTCGGAGACATATCTCAACGGAACGTGTTTCCGACTATCGTAAGAATCACAGGAACTTGGAACGTCTCAATAAAAAAAGGCAAATAAACACGAAATGTATTTACTAATAGTAGTACTACCAACGTCTTAATGTACGTTTCTCTACTCTCCTTCGCCTATTATTGCCGATAACTTGCTGTAGTGTAAATGCCGTTCAAATGCTCCTCTACAACACACAAGTACACCGCACGCACGCTCTGTGCACAAACAACAAGAATTATAGAATATTATGCCTGTGGTAAGAATATCCACTATCCTAACCCTAACCCTAGTTTGGCAATATTATTGCCATAATGATGTCATTTATATTGGCAATTATTACCCAAACTAGGGCTGAGAGGGTCTATGTCTCCCAGGGTACTGCCGGAACGTACCCTGGTACTATCTAATATGCCGGACCGTACCTCGCCTACTCCACTAACGAGTATATGGAGTCGCCTACGCCTACTCCCTAACCCTAACCATATCAATAGCGCGTTCGATTTGCTTCCCCAAGTTAACCTGGGTCTACTCGGGCCAGCCCCAAATACATTCGATTTGGCAGTCACGTGGTATTTTTGCGTTACCCGGGTCAACCCGGGTGAGGACGAAGTAACCCGCTAGCCGAGCCACTCACTTGGGGGGGGGGCTTGGGGAAGTATCCCACAATCCATTGCAACGACACCATGCATGGCGACGATACATCAGTGCGGGAATTGCATGAATGTAGCAGTAGTAATGAAGCATGACTGTCAATGACTGCGTGTTTGCCCATTCGGTTCAAGGATAGAGATGATGTCCAGGACGGTGATTGGATAGGATGTCCTTAACCCTAACCATAACCCTGTCCCTAAAGGCCGCCGCAGACCAGCCGATTTTTCACGCGATTTGATCGGCCCGATAGAAATCAGCCGATATCGGGTAGGTGTGCGCGTTCATTTGTAGACGATTTTATTTTTATCGGGTGATCGTTCCAAATCAAACATGTTTGATTTTGAACCGATGAGCCGATTTTAAGGCCGCCGACGCGGGTATATAGTACTAGACTAGAGCTAAGGTTAGGGAGTAGGCGTAGGCGACTCCCTAGACTCGCTTAGTGGAGTAGGCGAGGTACGGTCCAGCATATTAGATAGTATAGTATTTAGTCCAGGGTACGTTCCGGCAGTACCCTGGGCGGACATAGACCCTCTCACTCTCAGCGTCACTGGCACAGTCAGTCGGCTCAGGGATAGAGAAGATGTCCAGTCCTATCTTATCAACTAACATAATCCTATCCAATCACCGTACTGGACATCATCTCTATCCTTGAACCCAGTCACAGTGTAGACTAAGAGTAAGAGCAAGACTTAAACGACCAGGCTCTCCGACTGTTCCACGACGTAGCCGACTACCTCTCGCCACGTAGTGTTAAGCGAGATGGGAACTTGTGGCTAGAGCAAGACTAAGAGTAAGACTAAGACTAAGACTATCTGACTAAGAAGAGTACCGTAAGACTAGAGTAGACTGTAAATATTCATCATAATGAAAAACCTCCAAGCGTGAAAATAAATGTTATCAATTATAAGGTAGCATGTTCCAACATACTGTACTACTACTAGTGACAGCACATACGCAAAAACGGTGAATTATACGTGGTATACAGATTATACCATATTATTAATTTATACCCACCAGTTTGACATTTGTTTACACCTGTCGCCATGGCAATGGTCGCCATCTACGGCGATTTCACCTACATTATTTCTGCGCAATTCTGCTACTAGATGGCAGAATAATCAGTTGTGGCGGAATTCATGCAAAAGTAAATTTAGTTTGTTTTCGAACAGGAGAAGTCGGTTAGTAGGAAGAAGACAAGAGAGAATTGCTGCCGAAGTTAACACTAAATTAGTTAATTAGCAACGCGTCAGAACACTGAACGAGTAAAAAAGTCAGTAAATCAACCGGTCGCGTCAGCAACTGTGCAAAAAAGTAATGGGGCACAATCCTAGTTAGTTTGGCTGGTTCTAGCTCTAGTACTAGATACTATAGCCCCGCGGATCGCTCGCGCAGGGCTATACACATTTGCCATAGATGTAATCTAAGCAAATGGTCAACTGAGTGACCAAAAATTATCCCCAAAACGTAAATGATCGGCTTTTTAACACTTTATCTATCAACATGGACATCTCAACCTATCTTTTGAACACTTCCACAACTTTACACCAGGTATTTTGCTGTTATTCCTCAAAGTCTTAGCAACTGAAGAGTCACGCGTGCACACATAAGCATAGAATACAATTAATGTACCGAAACCCAAGAGGATAGGGGGTTGGGTTACATTATTGTATCTAACATAAGCACGAGCAACAGGATTTGAAAACAAACACAGAGGGCCGGTTTCACGCAAGGCTACTTAACTTAAGTATGATTAAATCACTAATCATATTTAACTTCCCGTAATTTATGATTAGTTAATCATACTCACAAATCTGGTTTCACGAAGCGATTTAAGTACATATTTAACTATCACATAATTAGCCGACTTCAACATGAATAGACTGGTACTCGCTCCCCTCTCGGCTTAGTTACTCGATGGAATCGAGTAATCGAGGTGGGAGCGGGTACCAGTCTAAAACAAATACACGGTATTCATATGGGGGCACCAATACGCCAAAATATCTTCAAGTTCGGTACATGAAAAGGAATTAATTGTAACTATTAATGATTGGAGTAGTACAGCAAATCTTAGATAATTTAATTTCCTTGGGAAAAAATTGAAGTAAAATTTCCAATTGGAAAATCTGCAACGTACCTAATATCACTAGTACTACCTACTTCTAAGTTCTCAGTACTAGCAACTAATTATGATTAGTGGATTTAATCATGCGTCTGAGGTAGAATTAATATTTGTGATAACTTTAATCATGATTAAGTTAATTACGCTTCGTGAAACAGTCACTTTAATTTAAGTACGAGAAAGTTAATCATGATTGTGAATTTAATCACGATTCAATACTTAGGCCCCAGGGGCCGTTTCACGAAGCGTACTTAAGTACTTGAATCGTGATTAAATCACTATCAGATTAACTTCTCGTACTAAAATAAAGTGACTGTTTCACGAAGCCGTAATTAACTTTAATCATGATTAAGTTATCACAATATTTAATTCTACTCAGGAGCATGATTAAATCCACTAATCATAATTAGTTGCTAGTACTATAACTTAGAGTAGGTAGTACTAGTATATTTAGGTACGTTGCAGATTTTCCAATTGGAATTTTACTTCAATTTTTTCCAAGGAAATTTAAATTTCTAAGAATTTGCTGTACTACTCAATCATTATAGTTACAAATTAATTCCTTTTCATGTACCGAACTTGAAGATATTTTTTGGCGTATTGGTCCGCCATATGAATATCGTGTAATTTGCTTTTAGACTGGTACTCCTCCCACTCGATTACTCGATTCCCATCGAGTAACTAAGCCGAGAGGGGAGCGAGTACCAGTGCTATTCATGTTGAAGTCGGCTAATGATGTGATTGATTAAATAGTACGTTAACTCGCTTCGTGAAACAGATTTTTGAGTATGATTAACTAATCATAATTACGGAAGTAAGTATGATTAGTGATAATCATTACTTAAGTTAAGTACGCTTCGTTGAGAACCGGCCAGTAGTGCCTAAGACTTTGAGGAATAACAGCATAAATACCTGGTGTAAAGTTGTGGAAGTGTTCAAAAAGATAGGTGAGTGTCCATGTTGATAGATAAGTGTTATAAAAAGCGCCGATCATTTATTCGTTTGGGATAAATTTTGGTCACATCAGTTGGACCATTTGCTTAGATTACATCTATGGCAGAATGTGCTTAAGCCTGCGGCAGCGATCCGGCGGCTATAGTACTAGAGCTAGGCTGGTTCAAGCAATCAAGGATAGAGACATGGGGGCTCAGGGATAGAGAAGATGGTCCAGTCCTATCTTATCAACCTAACATCATCCTATCCAATCACCGTATTGGACATGGGTCCCAATAAAACCATGTCCATTTACCATCAATATAATATAATATTATATCAATATAAATAGGTTAGGCTAGGGTTGGGTTAAGGTCAGGGTACTAGCCAAGCAGTGAAGCACATGCGTTTCATTTGGACCCATGTTCTCTATCTTGGCGCGTCCGGAACGTACCCCTGGGTAACTATTTGTAGTGCGTTCGATTGCTTCCCCAGAGCCACCTGCGCGGTTAACGGGGTACGAAATCGAACGCATCTGGGGTAGGGAGTATAACGAATGGTTTTTGGGTTAACCGGGTTATATCATCATGGATGCCAGTGACAAGAAAAAAAGAATAGCAATTGCAATCTAAAGCCTGCGCGCACATTGCCGACATTTGCCGAACAAATGTTCGTCCGACAAATGTTTTGTCTGGCAATGGGCGTGAACGGCGTGAACAATAGCTGAGCCACACATTGCCGAACATTTTCGCAGGCAACAACCTGCGTGGCGCCGTCTAGTAGCTGTGTTCGTGAAGAGTCACGTGATCCGGCCGTGACTGGCCAACGTCGGCGTGATACGGCATTTACAATGTTCCTAGAATTGTTCGACATTCAGCGCCACATTGACGAACAATGTTCGAGATATCCAAACATTTCCGATCTTCAGAAACATTTGTTCGGAACCAAAGTTTTGGCGACTTTTTTCACCGCACATGCGCCGAACATTTCATTGGAACATTTGCTACGAAATGTTTTTGAGCAAAAGCGTTCAGCAATGTGCGCGCAGGCTTAAGAATGGGCGCAAGGATAGACGAGCATGTCCAGTAATAAACATCCTATCCAATCACCGTCATGGACATCATCTCTATCCTTGAACGAATGGGCAAACACACGCAGTCATTGACAGTCATGCTTCAATACTACTGCTACATTCATGCCATTCCTGCACTGATGTATCCGTCGCCATGCATTGGTTCGCGTTTGCAATGGATTGTGGGATACTTCCTCAAGCCCCCCCCAAGTGACCGGTTCGGCTAGCCGGTTACTTCGTCCTCACCCGGGTTGACGCCGGGTAATGCAAAATACCACGGGCTGCAAATCGAATGTATAATGGGGCTGGCCCGAGCTAGACCCAGGTTAACTTGGGGAAGCAAATCGACACTGCGCTATTGATATGGTTAGGGTTAGGAGTACGGTGTAGGCGACTCCATAGACTCGTTAGTGGAGTAGCGAGGTACGGTCCGGACATATTAGATAGGACCAGGGTACGTTCCGGCAGTACCCTGGGGACATAGACCTTCACTCAGCCCTCGTTTGCGGTAGATAATTGCAATATAAATGACATCATTATGACAATAATTATTGCCAAACTAGGGTTGTCATTATTGACAACGACCTGGATAGTGGATATTCTTACCACAGGCATATATTCTATTATTTCATTGTTTGTGCACAGGGCGTGGGCGGCTGTACTTGGTGTTTCAGAGGAGCATTTGAACGCTATTACACTACAGCAATTATCGGCCATAATAGGCGAAGGAGAGTAGGAGAACGCGTACATTAAGACGTTAGGTAGTATACTATATAGTAAATACATTTCGCACGTGTTTATTTGCCTTTTTTATTGAGACGCTTCCAAGTTGCCTGTGATTCTTCGAAGTCGGAAACACGTTCCGTGTGAGATATGTCTCCGAGCGTCACAGTGATCAGAAGCTTTCAAAGTCTATCCGCCG